AAAGAGTGTATGTTTTGACAAATCTAGTAAGCTGCAGTTCAGTCAGTTTCAGATTCCTTAAACTGTTTGTGATTAAAAATAGGCATAGTAGTGTGCATATAATACATCCTAATTGTTCAGTGTGCTGGATACTGACTTCTGATAGTGAGCTTCCAGTCCAAAGAGCATAATAAAATGACTGTTGCTGAAAGAATGTGCCTTAAGTACTGACTGCCGTAACAGAAGCAAATGTGTTGGCTTTATAGCTTGAGACATAACTCATTCAGCTAGCGAGATGAGAATAGCTGAAGCTATCTGTGCAGCAGAAAGATTTTTTTTTTTTTTTTTTTTTTTTTAACAGCAATGCTCTGGGTTTTTTGTAGAGCTGCCTGATGCTGCCCAGGGCTTCCTTCCTTCTGATAGGCCAGATTGCCACCCCCCAAACGCACAATGGGACTTTCACTGCTTATAATTGTCCAAACTTTCATTTGAACTTCCTTTCAGAAGAAGTAAGAAATGGCATATTTTTAGAGAATGGTGCATGAATATTACCTTCTTTTCCTTCCAGTTCCAGGATAAGAGATTTGAAAGTAGATGAGCTTGTACCCTTTCCTGTTTAGCAACTACTAGCTGTGTTACTGTCAGGAGAAAACTGACTTGCATTTTCTTAATGGTCACTTAATATCAAATATTATTCCACCTTACAAAGACCTCTTTTAAGGGAAGGTAGGACCAAAGTAGTACTCAATTGTTACTCTTGCATCAAAAGCATGGGGTTCAAAATCATAATGTGATCTTCCCAGGACTGTTCCACTGCATCCTGCTTCAGGTGGTGCTGAGAAAGAAGCTGCCTGCTACCTGTTCGGCTGGGCAAGGAGCAATTGGCAAAGGAACAGACTGGAGCATAGGCTTTTGAGGGGACAGTACCCCTTTCATTACAAATATTGTCCTCAGAAGTGAGATATGAAACAAATCACTTACGTTTTTTTTCTTAGATAGTAACAATGGCCTATCCTATTTTGGGAAGTCTTGCTTGTCTCTGCAGCTCTGATCTTAGCTGAATGCTCTTGGCTGCCGCCAGCTCCAGGAGTGATGTTTAGGACTGGGTCCAGTGCAAGCTGTTCTGCAGAAACTATGGTCAAAAGCATGAGGCTTTAGCTGTTTCATCAGCCATTTTGAATATAAAGTATGTCTTAGCTTCACCCTTGGGGGTCTTCAAGCTGTTGGTGATTGGTGTTAGCACATAGAATGTCCCAGCTATCTCTGCAGCCCCACTTGGGTAGATTGTAAATTGTCCAGGATGTGTGCATTCTGTCAGTAGTTCCATGCTGTTGGCACTTTTGTCTTAAGCCATCAGGAAACTACTGTTTGCTGGGTGGGTTTTTCTGTCTCTTTGGCGATCTGAATTGGGCCTTGAAGCTTTATTGGAAACTTTGATGATAAAAGAGGAGCCTGATCTCTACTACCTGGCCATACTCAGAAAAATTTTAGTGAGCTATAAATACAGCATGAATTTTGTGGAAAGGCAATGTGTATAGAAATTAAGGTGCTTTGGTGTTCACTAATATAGAGACTGAAGCTTTTATCAAGATTTCAAGTACTGAAGCAGATATTTGATCATAAATACTAATAAGGCATTATTTTGAAGTGTTCTTATGTTAGCTGTTCTTCTGGCTCTCAGGACCTCCTGCCACCTATGACTGAAAGCCCTTTCTCGCCTCAACAATTGCATGAGTTCAAAGTACTAGCTTTAAACTTTAAATCTTCATTCTTGAACAGTGTTCATTTATTATCTAACTGCCCTGGATTGGCAGTTGTCACTAATGACTTGCTTTGTAACTTTTAGGTCTATATCACTACATATAGTTGAGAAAAGATGGATACAGAAAAGTTGGATTACTCTGTAATTGCATATAGGGCACTTATTTCTTCATTTTTAGGGGGTGAGGGAGGGGAGTTAAAACTACTCAGCCTTCTCAAATATTATTTTCCTAGTGGAATGAAAGGCACCTGAGATAAAATAGTACATCCTATATGATCTTGGTTCACCAAGATAGGAGTACCTGTACAACGTTATCATGAAGACCAACATTTTGGCCTTTTGGTAATTTTATCAGGTGGACTTCAGGAGAGCTAACTTTGGCCTCTTCAGGGACCTACTTAGGGGAATCTCATGGGGTAGGGCCCTAGAAGGAAGAGGGGTCCAAGAAAGCTGGTTAATATTCAAGCGTCACCTCCTCCAGGCTCAAGAGCAGTGCATCCCTCGGAGTAAGAAATCCAGCAAAGCAGGCAGGAGACCTGCATGGATGAGCAAGGAACTGCTAGCAAAACTCCCAACAGAAGAAGGAAGTCTACAGAATGTGGAAAAGGGGACAGGCCACTTGGGAGGAATACAGGGGCGTTGTCAGAGTGCGCAGGGATGCGACAAGGAAGGCTAAGGCCCACTTGGAATGAAATCTGGCAAGGGATGTCAAGGACAGCAAGAAAGGCTTCTTCAAATACATCAATAGCAAAAGGAAGACTAGGGAAAATGTGGGCCCACCGCTGAATGGGGCGGGTGCCCTGGTAACAAAGGCTATAGAGAAGGCAGAGTTATTGAATGCTGCCTTTGCTTC